GTTGTTGTTGTTGTTGTTGTTGTTGTTGTTGTTGTTGTTGTTGTTGTTGTTGTTGTTATTGTTGTTGTTGTTTCTCTAGGTCTTTCAAAAGAGTTCAACGCGTTTCACGCCCCCCCCAATGTTTTTTCAGCATTTTTCAGCAACATTCAGGAGCTGGCAGTGTCCTGCAAGTCCTGCACATCACCACGTGAGATGCAATTTGTACCTGTGTGGGCACCTATTTGGAGCCTCTATTCCATCACAGTGATGGCAATGGTTGCTGTTTCCTTCCCTCAAGTGCAAATGACGTTTCTACTCGACTGGAATTCCCAAGGCTCTCTTTTTCTCTCAATGTTCAACTTTGAATTGGAACCTTTTTGGGTGTGCGCAGTGATGGCTTTGCCAACAACGTTCTTTTGCTTCCAGAAGCTTGATGGTCACAAGTTGATGTTGGATCAGATGGCCTCCTTCGATCTGAGAAATGCTCAATGTACCTTGGAAACTGATCGTGTGGTTCTGCAAAGGCAAGTCGTCGACCTCTTTGACGAAGCATTGGAACCTCCTTTGTTTGTTTCCTTTGGTGTTCAGGATCCGATGCCAAATGCAGACTCCCTCGCCATGCAGATGGAGGTCGTTGATCATGCCGTCCGTCATGTGACCAGTTACCCAACACCAGACGAGGTCATTGATCAGTTCAATGCCTATGTGAGAGGCCCCTTGCGTGACCGCGCGGTTAGCTTGATGGGCCACGAGACTGACATTTCCATGAAGTTGTGCATCGTTTTCAATTTGCCACTGTACTTGCTGGGTCTTGTCATGGTCTGGGGCTGTTATGGTCAGAGAGATTGTGAAGCGTCTGCGTCGCATGCCGGCTACCCTTCCGTCTCCCAGTACCTTCTTTGCAACGTGACCATGAATTTTATCATCACGCCAGCTCTTAGCACCCTCTTGTTCCCAATGGCCTTGCGTGTGAATTATTGGGTCACGCGGGCAATCAAAGGGGGTGTGTGGCGCGTCGTCAGCGGATCCTTTTGCACCACCTTGGTCATTTTTGTGACCAACTGCTTGCAATCGACCGGGGCAAGTGCCACGGTCGTGATCGTGAATAGATGCTCCACCATGTGGCTGGTCAGCTATATTGGAGCTTGCATTCTTGTTTCCCTTCTTGCATGGTTTCTTTTCAAGCCACATAAGCGTTTCGTGCCGAGTCAGCGGCCCCTGGCTGCCTGGTGACGTTGCTTTCACCGTTTCACCGTGTCGCCGTGAACGGTTCTGGAAGCGTTCGCAGCAAAGCCTGAGATTTCTTCAAAAAAAATCTCAGGCTTCAGAAGACCACAAATAGATTCGATCTAAAATGAGGTATAGATCAACATGTAGTGGAAACTGTTTCGATCCAAGTTGGAGACCACTCAGGATGTTTCTACCTGCATCTTGAGGTATCGGAGCGTCTTGGCGACGGTGAACAGTGAGGAAGAGACCTCCCTCGAACGGCTCATAGGCAGCGCACAGTGTCACAGCTGCGATCGACGGCGCAACCTGCCTCTGAGTCGATGGAGTACGTAGGGTGGAGGCCATCGCTCTTAGGTTGGAGGCCCATACTACTATAGTAGCAAGGACGCTACTAGGGTTGGATGGATGGAACATTGGACCAGTACGTAGCAGTGGCATCTAGGATTTTTGGGGGGGCCGCTTGGGGATTCTTTGGCTTTGATTCAGGGTTCCTTGGTCTTGCCAGTTGGGGTAGATGTGTTTGGTTTGCCAGGGATCTTGTACCGTTTGGGTTTGTGAGATGTGTTTCAGGTTCGAACTGCCCCCACCGCCACTTCGGACCTTTTGAAGCTACTAGGAACAAGTGCATCGCTACTAGTAACAAGTGCCTTACTAGTAGAAACAAGAAGCTACTAGACATCACATCTCGGAGGTCACCAAAATCGAATTTATTTTAATTAAAAACTTAATTCTATTAGCTTCTTGTTACTACAAGTAAGGCCCTTGCTCCTAGTAGCGATGCACTTGTTCCTAGTAGAAACAAGAAGCTCGGAGCGTCTGCAGGCCACGGTGAGCGTTTAGACGTGATGCGCCGCCGTCGGCGATGGCTGCAGGCGGCTCCCGTCGGGCCGCTCCGTCAGCACGACGACGACGACGACGACTACTACTACCTAGGGAAACAAGATACCAAGAAAACGTAGTACATTAGAAAAAGACGATCTTTTTTAGGAAAAGACGATGTTTTCCAAAATGTGTGTTTTGGATCTGACAGCACGCACCTGAATTTCGGACACAAGTCACCAAATGTCGACCTCACCAAGAACACTTTTCACCCGGATCGAGAGTGAGCCTTCAACATGCAGCTACGAGCCTAAGAACTCACAAATGGCATCTGGTTGTCAGGGATGCAAAAAAGCCATATTTTTAGTACGGTTTAGTATGGGTTAGTACGGGTTCCGTACGGGTTAAATATGGGTTCTCAAAACACAATGTTTTTTGGGGCAGATCGAAAATACGGGTTCCGTATGGGTTAGTACGGGTTAAGTACGGGCTCCGTACGGGATAAATACGGTGTCTTATGTTTTCGGTGAAGGCGCCCTCCAAATTCACAAAAAGGCTATATTTCATTTAAGATGACCAACACAGATGGAAGAATCGGAAGAATGCTCGACATTTGGTGACTTGCGGATCCATGAAGGTCCCACGGCACTCACCTCAAAGCAAGATCCGGGAGACAGGTGTTTGTTTATGGTAGCCGGAGCTATTCTTCAGTGGTTTTACCAAAAAGACGATCTTTTTCGGGAAAAGACGATGTTTTCCATCTCTTCCCTAGAAAAAGCGATGTTTCATCCAGGAGCCTACAAATTGTTAGTGTTTTGCTTCTCTAGGTACTACTAGCTTCTATACTACCACCACTGCAAGTACCACCAGCTCTGACGGGCTGTGCAGATGTTTGCATACGGCTTCCCCGGGAAAGCGCCAGTGAAATTTTGCGAAAGATCCGCGAAAGTTTCGCGAATGTGCCGCTAAAGTCCAGGTTCCCAGCTTGAGGCCTCCCAACATTCCCCAAGCTGCATCACCCTGTGTTGGTAGCTGGCACGAGGATTGGGTTGAGTTGCGCCACAGATGCTGCAAGTGACCCTGAGTAGCTGTGGAAACGTTCAACCTTCTACTGTGGTCATGCTGCAAGATGTTTGTCCCTATTTTGTGATACTATGACATGTTCCGGCTCATGTTAGCTAGACATGGTTGTAGGACCATGCTTCGTGATGAGGCCGCGAAAGATCCGCGAAAGATATCTTTTTTCCGCGAAGAATGGCCATTCCAGGATGAAAGAATATTGATCAACCACCGTATATTTCTACATATTTCTACAACTACAGCAAACAAAGCTGCTATTTAACTAACAGACCGTGACAAACATGTTCGACACAATGTTGAAGACAGAGTCTGTTTTGAGGATTGAAGCTAAGAACCTTTCTGCTTGTGACAAACAAGAGTTCAGCTGTTTTGTGCACAGTTTCCTGTTGTTCGCGTCACAGGTCATCCAGTGTGGTTGGCCATGAAACCCAGCCCAGCACTGTTTACTGCATAGTTCAGCCAAGGGTTTTTCATTGGAAGCCCACAGAAGTCACACCAGAGTTCAGTGTTATCGAACTTAGAGTAGCGCTTCCAAGTGCACATTGTTCACGAAACGCACCCATGTCCTTTCTAAACAGAAAGCTTTTGATCTACTGCAAGTATCTCAAACTATACCAAATAGTGTGTTGGATTTCTGAAGCGTTTTCACTTGGAGTTTGAAGTGCACAAATGTTGAACCATATTTAACCATTCCCTGCCGAATCCTCGGAATCGCCGATGAAAGCTGGTCCTGGCAGGATTGCTTTGGCCGTGTGCTGGCGACCCTTGCAGGCCCGGTGCGGGACGATCGAATGGCGTGGAAAGGTAAGCTAGCCGAACAGGTGTGGAGGGCAAACAGTTGGCAGATACAATCATATACGATGAAAAACATTGCAACGGGATGGAACGGGGATCCTATACGTTTTTTGACCTTTCATATATAAAGCTGCAGTTGATCCTTTCATCGGTGGTGAGATCGCATGCGACCTCGCCATCCTCCAGTGTGGAGTTCTCCCGTTTCGGTTTGGTGGTGACTCGTGCGCAGGTGTTGCGATCTTGTCAGCGTTCTCCTCCTCCTTGGGTTTGTGCCTGGATCGAGCTGCAGGGTGGGGAACCCAGTGGAACAAAGGGAGAGCAGGACTTGAGAGAAGTCTGAAAGTAGTTACGAAGAATCCTGTCGTAGTCCATCCCCTTGCATTTGTCTCCAGGAGTCAACCTGTTATGGATCAATGGATGGATGATTCTACGGAGTTTTTTGAGTGACAGAAATACTGTAAACGGAAGCTGTCCTGATTCCATGATGTTTCATCAACGGTTTTCGTTACAGGTGGCAACTGGGATGAGCAAAGGAACAAAGCAATGACTCTGCTCGGGTCGTAAGGGGGGGGGGTTCAAATTCTCCAGATGCTGGGCATTCGAATCCAACATTATCCAACCAAATCCAACCATTTCCTAAACCATCGGACAAATCGGCGAATCTGCTCAAAAAGCTTGTTTTTTCCCACCCACGCATTCAAGTTTGATTGCTTCTTATTTTCAACGGCATTGCACGTCGAAGCGAGGTTGGCCTGGGTCCTCTTGAGCGTTTGCTACCTGGGCGCTTCGCCTTTGTTGAAGATGCCGATGCGGGGCCTTGCCGAGAGGCGCGGTGAAATCAGAACCAATAGGAGAAGCAGAATAGGGGTGGTTGGCTGGGAACGCAACCTTGACAGATTCTGTTGAACAACATATGTCTTCTTTAAGCCTTGGGGGTAGTGTCATTTTCTGGGGTCCAGGCTGTATCCATGACCATCCATGACCATCTATGACCCCCTGAACCACACACACGACATTGGTTATGGAGGTCAGTCGGGGCGTCCTTCGGCCCGTTCGGCCTGACCGCTCCTCCGTTCGGGGGGACCTCATGCGCGTTGCGCGCAGGGTGTGTGACCAGCTCTACTTGAAGGGTGGTGAAGAGTTGGTGAAAGCCATCTGTTTGGAGGCACGGATCGGATTGCGCGGGGCGTCTCCGAGCGAGGTTCTAGATCGCCACCACAATCCAATGCAATCCATGAGGGTGATGATTTGACTCAACATCCTAGCGGCTATGTCAGCTTGCTGTTGGCTTTGGGTTTTGGTTGCTTTCCCGTTCGAGCCTAATGTATTCCATGCTGTTCAGGAGTTTGCACACAGTTGATTTCACTATGAAGGCTGCTGTGATTGGGGAGAAAGCCTGGAAAACTGTTGAGAAGAAACCTCACACATCCTCACACCACCTGCACCCCCCATCAATCAATGCTCACGGTCGCTCTTGCCACTTCGCAGTCTATCTTGCTTCACGCCAGTAACAACAGTCCAAGTGTTACGAGTACTTGTAGCTTCTTGTTCCTATAGAGTAGCAATCGCCAGGAGCCCCGTTCGTAGCGTCCGCTGCTCCGTTCGTAGCGATGCCCTTTGTTCCGTTCGTCGCGTCCTCGAGGCCTCGTCCCAAAGTGCGGCCGTGCTCGTGGCCTCGGGCGCGGCGTCGCAGCTGCGTTCCCGCGGGCGCGGCGTTTCGGCGAAGCGAACCGCGCCCATCTGTTTCTGTGTCGGGTTGCTCCAAAGCAGGAGGGGCTGAGTATTCAGTTTTTGTCCATCCTTCTTGTCCAGTTTCGTCTCCACCTCGGCGAACAGCGGATGGAAAGACTCCGTCTTCACCCTCGGCCGGACCGGGACCCGTCCGAGTCTTGGGCCTCTTGAGCTATCCGCTCTTCACCGCCCAGCTGCGGTCGCTCCTGAAGCCGGGGCGCCGAACGGGAGGGTGAACGAGGAACGGGAGAATGTTCGGAATGGTGGGTTTGTTGAGCAAGAAGTGAGATGCACTGCTAGACACTTCTAGAAAGAACAAAAGGGTTCATAGAAGCTTCCTTACGAACAAGCATTCTTTTCAGCACGCTGTTCAAAGAATCAGCTGTGGATCTTTTAGGTCGAAACGGAAAAAAAAGGACGACGAAGACATGCCCTTCGCCTTCGCGTCCGAGGCGTATCCCCCTGCCTTCCCAACTGCACCGGTCCTTTGTGACGCTTTTCCTGGTGCTCTTGGCCCTGCTGCTTTCCATGCTTCAGGAGGCGCCAGTCTCGACGAGACGCTGAGTGGGATGATCGAAGTTTCGCTTGGATCACATCAAAAGGCCAAAAGGCTACAAGTGCAGCCGCTCTATAGAGTACAGCTGCAGCATGCTGCAGCCATAAGATGCTATTATATAGAGGGGCTTTTCTTCACTTCCCATTGGACTGGCTCACTTGGGGCCTTTACCGCATCTCCAACCCAAAGCTGGCACTTTTCGGTCAGGTCCTCAGCGAAGCTGCAACGAGCACTCCTGCGCCAGCGCCCTCGGTCGAGTCCGCTTGGTACTTGTTTTATATATTTTTCTTCAAGCCCGATCCAACCTAAGAGCGATGGCCTCCAACCTAGTCGGATTTCTTCCAGTTGGTGCAATCCAAGAGCAGTCTTGGCAAACTGTTGTTAATGTGTCGCATGTTTGCGACGTGACTCGAAGTGTCGAGTGACCGGCCACTCCAGGTTTCTAGGTGCCTTCGCTGTGGTCTTTCTGGCCACATTGTTGGATGGAATCACCCTGCTGCAGAAGGTGCGATGCGAAGCTGCAGGAGAAGTGGATCAGAAGAACATGTGGCTAACCGGATGCAATAGGAAGGTTCGGGAGAAGGATATGAAGCTAGTAGAAACAAGTGCCTTACTAGTAGTAACAAGAAGCGCCACGCTAGTAGTAACAGGTGCCTTACTAGTAGTAACAAGAAGCTATTAGTAACAAGTGCCACGCTAGTAGTAACAGGTGCCTTACTAGTAGTAACAAGAAGCTCACATGACATATAAACGCCACAGCTGCTTCCTTCGAAAGCCGGTTTGCTTTGCCTATAGACATCTGTAAGACCACCCTTGAGATCACCAAGATTTAACACTGGATTCCTCGACGAATCTGCAGTTTGTCGTTTTTAAAGCAAGCCCAGTGTGTTTCCTGCCTATATATTAATTTACTCAGCGTGGAGGGCTGTTTTCAGAAAGAGTCTTGAAACACAGAGACGATTTGCAAAACGATCAGAAGACATGTTGTGGAAAAACATGATACTTCTTCAGGGGAACAGTAGACAGGGAACCGAAAGTCAAGACCTTGAACTCCGAAATCGGATCACAGGTCTTGCACAATCGCAGCTGCACCACGGCTTCGGCCGTGGGCCGCGTGTTTCGCTCAGCGGATGTTTGTTCAGAGCCAGGCTCCTAAGTAAGTGTCTGGCAATCGTCACATGTATTGATCAGTGTTTGCTATGGATCAGAACAAGGACACCGCATGGTACCGCACTGCTGCAATCCAATTGGACAGATCGTTTGTCGTCCGTCAACCATCGACTGGAAGCGCCAAGGGCCTTCACTTTTGGATTGCTCAGCGTGATGCTGAAGTGGCAGCATTGGAGGCAGGGTCTCGCCGTTCGATTTGGAACAATTTGATATTCAAGAGATTCAACCATTGCATGGCAAAATCCACAGATTGCAAGGCTTAAACATCGAATTTCATCGCATCGGTCAACAAAGTGCCAGAACCGAACCAGTGCCGGACACGGAGTTGGACACGTGAGACAACACCCAAACACCAGCTTTCACTTAATATTGTTGGGATATTCACCTTTGTTTGTTTGTTTGCAATTGGAGCGCAGAATTCAGGCAAGTGCTGATTGGAAGCTTCATTTCCGCTGGGGTCCTCAGCCAGATAAGAAGTATGTTGCTTCAAGTTACCTGGGAATTGAAAGAAACGCCTGACAAAGCAAGGCTAGCTAGCGAACTAGCGCCACTGGGTTCAAAATCAACAGAGTCCATGACCCCTTTCAGCGGCTCCACTGAGGTCGGTATTCCGAGTGTGATACCCTTTGGAGATACCGGCGGTTGCCACTCTGGCAATCTTGGTCTCGAGTGCTCCAGGCCGCTGTCGCAAAAATGCACGGTGTAGCGAAGGACACTGAGGAAGGAAGGGAAGAGACTAAAGAGGTCTAGTAGCGTTCTTGCTCCTAGTCCTTATAGTAGTATGGCCAGAAGCCCCTAGTAGCTTCTTGTTCCTAGTAGCGATGCCAGGAGCCCCTAGTAGCTTCTTGTTCCTAATAGCGATGCTCACGGGACGCGACTGCTCGTCGCGGCTGGACGGATGTCAGGCCCTGGGATTGCTCACCTGGTCGTGGCTCATTTATCCACATTGGGATGTGGTCTTCATGCTAGGCGCCGGTGTGCCATGGTGTTTGTGCCAGTGTGCCGGTGCTGCGTGGAAAGCCTCACTCGCGCGAATCTGTTTTTTAAATGCTGCGTGCATTGAACATCGCTTTGCTCATCTTTGCTCATATGTTATGTTGCGATATGTTGCGTTATTGTTTTCACCCAGCTATTTAATTTAGTGTAATGTTTATAACATGTTATAATCATATATGTTATAACACTTAATTACAACATCATGTTGTTGCATTGCATTCCGCAAGCTCCTTCACTTGTTGCCGGAATACTCGACGACAGGTGCTGCCCTCAACCTGGTTGACCTGTCCGGGGCATCGGTGTTTTTTTTTAGCTTTCCGCAGATCGGCAGATCTGGCAGTGCCAAGGAAAGGCCATGAAAACCGATGAAAGGCACATCGTTTTCTGCGGTTTATAGGCGGTTGATCTGCGTGTTTTCTGCATACTGAACATGGATTGAGAGATGTGGAGACCGAACGCCAGTGACCGGCTACCAGTCTGGCTCCTTCAGGAGCCTTTCCAGCGCTGAGCGCCATGTCATCCCTACACACTCGCGGATACTGGAGACTGGTGCTGGAAGAGAACGATGGTGATGAGCAGAAGCTTAAGGATAGGGGTTGCTAAAGCCGGCAGGTGATGAGCTTTGAGGCCCAAGAAAGTCCATCAGTTGATTGCTCCTGCATTGGGTGGCCACTCCTTCAGAAATTCTCTGAGTTTTCCTCCTTTTTTCCCTCTCGTAGCGCTTCTTCGAAAGGCATATACCTGCGAATGTATACACCTGCTTCTTCGGTCGAAGGATGTTCGTCCATGTCGCTGTGCATCGGCGCCTCAAACGCGCCATGAGCTGAAAGGGCTCGATGAAGTCAACGATGGGCTCGTTGGGCCGACAGTTCGGCAGTTCGGCGATGGATGAAATCGGAATGATCGAGGGGATGTCGTTTTGCGTCTGTATGGCAATATGCTTCCTAAAAAAGTCTTGACAAGATCAATGATCATTCCCACCCAAGAAGCTCCAACGACTCCAAAGCTTTATCTCCTACTAGGAACAAGAAGCTACTAGGGGCTCCTGGCATCGCTACTAGGAGCAAGGACGCTACTAGAGGCTATCCTGGCTTTACTACTAGGAGCAAGAAGCTACTAGGAACAAGGACGCTAACAGTCTTTGGAGCTCCAAAGGCTCCAAAGACTCTATGATCCGTGGAGGATATCGTCTTGAAGGACACCGAGGTGGTGGGCATTCTGGCGGCCTTGGTCCTCACCATCACCGTCGCGGTCTCCACGGTGGTCCATAGCGAGCTGAAACAGCCCTCCTATTGGAGACTGATCTATGCCACGTGACACATGAGGACGATGAATATGTACGATAGAGTATGGCAGGTTGGAAGAAGGGCGCAAGAAGGGCGTGAAGATGGGAAGGGAAGTTGCATTCAAGAAAGGTTGAGAAAGATCTTCTCTTTGAGATGTTTTGCTTTTCCTTGTGCATAGTACTGGGCGGGGTCATTCCTATATTCAGCTTGTTTGGAAGAGGCCAAACAAATTCCTAAGGTGACCTTGGGCTTTTGCAGTTTCATCTTCTCTTTGATCTCTTTGATGATCGCTTCACGTTTGCTCCTCTCCATCAACAAGCTCCACCCGCGGAAGGTCCTCCGGTGTTTGGAGCTCTTGGAGAAGGGCTGGGCCTCGGTGGATGGCTTCTGGTGGTTCCACCGCAGCTTGATCTTCCTGCTGCTGTCCGTCTTGATGTGTCTAGTTGTGCACAAGAAATTGATGTATGTTTGCATATTTTTGCTTGTTTGATTTTTTCGGTTGGTTGAAGTATGTTGGACTCCTTATACTGCGTTGTAGATATAGGTTGTACTTTGTATGCAACACGTCGTGTTGCAAACGTTTGCTTTTATGCAACTGTTATGTGCAAGTGGAGATGCACAACAATTTAGAGTAGAACTGCTCCACATATCCTTAATCCAACACATACCCCAAATACGTTCTCAATCGTTCTCAGTAGATATCTTATCTCCCGTCCATGTCTTTGCAGGGTTTGACCCTGGTTTGATCTGCTGACTGAGTTCTGTTTATTTGCTCTATGGCCAAAGCTGTTTCATCATTTGCTGCGTCCTTGGACTTCTGCCTGGAGCTATGATGTGGCACTTGCACCGAGCCCACGTGGGGGTTGTGTGGCCATTGATTAACCTGGTGGAGAGCGAAACTTCGGATTCGGATAAGAATGGTCTGGTTTGAGAAAAGCACCACGCGACCGTCCCACGTGGCATGGCCTGAATCCCTCCACCGGAGCAGAGAACGTCGATGGTCCGGCTCCTCGTCTTCCACCTGCATGAGGATCCTCTCTGGATGCGATCTGCGCGATGTTCTCTGAGGATCCCAATGGGGATCCGTACCGATCCCTCGCGTCGATCGGCCGGCGCGCCACGTCGTTCGGACTCGGCCGGAGAGCGGCGGAGGAGACGGTCACGGATTGGTCCGGTCCGCGTCCGGCTGATGCCACCAGCTTCGCAAAAGGTGGGGCGAATGCCAGGCGTTCTTTGGGTATAGATCTATAGGATTCTGTAGGAATACGAACGGAATGAGGATGGAGATGGATAGCTCGAAATCCGATTGTTTGCGGCATCAGTTGGAGACATCTCAATCTCAGTATGTTCAAGTAACTTCTCCAGAGTTTGAACAGCTAACCCTATTATAGATTGAGATGCAACGACCTTCTTGTTCAAGAATCTTCAACAATATTCACAAATTGTGTTTTGCAACATACATATTCCCGCACGTTTTGAGGGTGATGAGTGAAATTCCCACCTCTTCCAAGACCTGTTTGTGTCACCATCAAATTCAATGCTGTATTTACCAATGACACAGAAACAATGCGGAAAGCGAATGTCAGAAGCAAAGCACTGAAGACATTCATTCACCGTACCATGATTCTACTGTATAGATGCTACTAGTAACAAGTGCCTTACTAGTAATTAGTAACAAGTGCCTTACTAGTAGTAACAAGTGCCTTACTAGTAGTA